GTGAGCTACGTGAGTACTACATCTCCTGAATATCACTCTTCGGGCCCGGATCTCTCTTTGCCACTTGCATGGTTTAGAAGCAGACAGAGTCGGCGAGATGCTCACGCTTTGACAGTGAAGAACGTCGTCCTTGCAGGCTTTGGAAACATCACCCTACTCGACCTCGACACCATCGACCTCTCCAATCTCAACCGTCAATTTCTGTTCCGGAAGAAAGACGTCAAACAAAGCAAAGCACTCGTACGTCTTCGCAGTTAGCCACTGCTTGTTTGCTCTCGTGCTTAGTCGCACCTTCCATTCAGGTCGCGGCCAAGACTGCTTCGGCGTTCAACCCCAACGTCCGGATTACACCTATCCACGGCAATATTAAAGAGCCGCAATTCGATATTTCGTGGTTCAAGCAGTTTGAGCTTGTGCTCAACGCTTTAGACAACCTAGGTATGTTGCTCTCGATGCCATGATTATGACCTTCGTGCTCAGTTGCGTGTCGCCCGCTGCAGATGCTCGTAGACATGTGAACAAAATGTGTTTGGCGGCAGGTGTGCCTCTAGTAGAGTCTGGTACAGCGGGATATCTCGGGCAAGTGCAGCCAATCATAAAGGTACGTGCTCGCCTTCTCGCCACCTCAGTGTATACTCACCACACCGCAATACAACACAGGATCGCGCCGAGTGCTTCGACTGTGTCCCGAAGCCGACACCAAAGTCCTTCCCTGTTTGTACCATTCGCTCAACGCCATCTCAGCCCATTCATTGCATCGTTTGGGCGAAAAGCTACCTCCTGCCGTGAGTATCATTCGCCGAAAGTGTGGTTTCATGTGTCGAGAGATAGCTGTCTGTATCTCGCGTGTTCTGCGTGGCCTGCGTGCTGACTTTGCCCGCTTCTTGTCTGTAGTCAACTGTTTGGTGAGGATGAGGATGCCGGAGGTGAACTAGATGAGGCTGAGAAACAGGGTGAAAATGGTGCGCTTTCTTTGAAATATTTACATGTCCTCTGTGACGGCTCATCATGCACCATATTCCATAGCCCAGGAGATTGCCACTTTGCGCAAAGAGGCCCTCGCCTTCAAAGCTGTACGCGCGGCACTGCGTGCTCCTGCTGACCCTTCGTCGTCTGACGCTGCGAAAGCGGTATTCCAAAAAGTCAGTTCCCTACCCTTTTTATGTCTTATTTGCTCAACTGACATGCTGCTCTGAAGGTGTTCCGATCTGACGTCGAGAATCTCCTCTCAATGGCCGATATGTGGCGGTCACGCGAGCCGCCAACTCCGCTGGACTTTGAGGGGATTCAAGCCGGTACTTTCGCTGTCAAGAAGCCAGGTCATGCGAATGGCACTGCTGTGAACGGGAACCACATGAATGGCGCAGCAGTCAAAGCCACAGGCAGTGCCGCTACGGAGCAACTATTGAATGGCGCTTCGTCGTCCACGAGCTCAAGCGCGTCTCTCAAAGACCAGCGAGCGCTGTCCCTGCAGGACAACTTGGAGATGTTCGTCTCAAGGTGAGGTGTCTGGTCGCGCTAGTGATACGTTTCATCCTGACGCATAATTACGTCCAGCCTGAATCGCCTTGCCGCAAGACTACGGTCTGGCAAAGAAGAAACCATTTCGTTTGATAAAGACGATGATGATACCCTCGACTTCGTCACCGCCTCTGCGAATTTGAGGTCTTTCGCGTATGGAATCTCGACCAAGAGTCGATGGGAAGTGAAAGGTCCGTCGCTAGTGCAGGTTCCTACAAAGGTGTTGCTAACATTTCCCTGGACAGAAATGGCGGGTAACATTATCCCTGCCATTGCGACAACAAACGCCATCATTTCTGGTCTCATCGTCCTGCAAGCCTTCCATCTTCTGAAGAAGGCGTACAACTCCCTGCGGAACGTCCACGTTCAGTTCCGGCCAAACATGCCCCTCAGCGCCATCAAGATGAGCCTGCCCAACGATGGTTGTGGTGTCTGTCGAGATACGTTCGCTGAGGTGCTGTGTGATCCATCGCGAGCAACGCTTGGCGATATCGTTGACGGGATTCTCGGTGACAGAGAAGGCGAAGGGTCGGGGACGGGCAAACGGGAGGTCAGCGTGTATGAGGACAAGCGCGTACTCAGCGATCCAGATTGGGATGACAACCTGGAGAGGACACTGGAAAGTCTGAACGTGACGAGAGGGATGTTCCTCTCTATCGTGGATGATGATGGCGAGCTGGAGACGATACAAGTCGGGATTGGAATGCTTCCGTGAGTGCAAACGATATTCGGTTACTTCTTCAGCATTGATTCCTTTGCTCTCTAGACCCAACCACCCCGTGGACGAATCTCCCGTCATTCTACCGTCACCGTTGCCTCTACCCAAGAAGAAAGTAAAGCCTCAGACTGTGGAAAGCACGCCACCGCCACCACCGACGGGTGTTAAGCGGTCAGCACCAGACGATGAAGACGTGCCATCGGCGAAGCGGGCTAGGAAGACAGGTGGTCCGGCCCCGCCGTTCAGCCCGAGCAAGAAGAGAAAATTGGATGAAGACGGAATCATCATGGTTGATTCAGCGGATGTGGACTTGGAAGATGCAGATATCATAGTGATTGACTAAAGTATATTCTCTTGTTACCTTATCGTGGACTCATGTGTCGCTTTTTGTCTGACGTCGTTTCTTGGGCTCCTCGCTTGCTCACATACATTATTCACTGCTGATTTCATTACATCTACTTCAATACTCATTCTTCTTGTAGACCGCGCCAGACAGCATTTGTGAACTGGGTGAACGTGGATCCCGGCTCCGCGTCCCGACCCACCAACGCCACACTTTCTCCCAGAAACCGAAAACCTGGACCCACTGCTCAGACGGATCATTGCTCTGTTCTCATCTCTACCATCTGGGCATTGCTTGTCTCTATGCAATGTTGATAGTTTCTTATTGTCAATTCACTGAAGCAGCGGAGTTATCGTCCGTGTCAGCAGCTCACAATAAGACATTCAAGCGGGTGACGCCGGCTCGATCTGTTCTTTTGTCTTGCGCACCGACAGTAATGGAGCATCCGCCCAGAACAAGGTCCTCCACTCCTCTCACTGCGGTATCATGATCGATGCCTTACGTCCCAAGGCCTTCCGAAACTCTTTTTTGTCTCGTGGAGAGCATATAACGGCAGGTGAGCACGTCCTCAGGCTTGGTGATTCGTCCACTACGCACGACCCCAGCGGCCGTCCCTCCTCTTCGTCCTCTGTTTTCTTTCGCCTTTTCATTTGGGTCGTAACTTTGCAGGAATCTTGAGCTTGCTCGAGTATACGTCTCCTCTCAAGAATCATGTTTAACGACGTGTCACCCATGGTCCCGAGTCGCGTCATCACTTTCCCCCGCCCCCCTCCTACGTGCAACACCTTGTCTGCATCGGAGCGTTCCAAGCTGTTGAAGTCCACAGCGAAGCTCGGAAATGTGCTTGGGAGCACCCCGCATGTCGTAGATGAAGCTTTCGATCTACGTGAGTACCACTTTATGTGACCAAGTCCTCATCAGCCTGACCGTATATCCCAATAGCTCCCTCTCCCCCTCAGTCGGCCGTTGCCAAGAAACTGAGACAGAGGACATGGTCTTTCAAGACCAAGAAGGACCACAGCGACACCTCGGAGAGCGATAGCGATATCTCCCCTATTCCCCGCACCAGTACCTCTTCTCGTGCATCGTCCTCCAGCGCATCTTCCTCGGGTTGTCCTTCCGCGCCTTCCTCTCCAGAAGGTGCTTGGCGGTCTCGTTTTCCCGCACAGCGTCCACCTCTCCTTCGTCTTGGCATGGGGAAGATGTTGAGCAAGAGCTCCCGCCGCATGCAGCAGCCGACTCTCGAGTCCATTCCCGGGTCTCCGCCTCCCACCGTAGAGAACACACCGTCATCCCCCGAAGACGTATTGTACGCGACGTTCGAGAAGGACGATCCATTCGGCGCATACGCGAACTCATCATACCTCGAGCTCGCACCGGAGGCCCCTATTCCTCAGTTCACCATTCCCTCGGACGCGGCGCTGCGTCGGCAGAAGATGCGGAGGTTGAAGAGGAAGTTGGGCGACAACATTCCTGTACACCTCGTATTTCCACCTATCATGGAGTCGGACGAAGAAGACGTTATCATCCATTCGCCTACCACTCCCACCTGCGAATCCCCCGATTCCGATGGAAGCTGCGACTCCTCCTCGAACTTGATCACCGATTCTGAACGCGAACAAGAGGATGTCCTACCACCTCTTCCCTACGATCCTCGCAGTTTCCGCACGAAGCACCATTCTCGTCTTCGCCACGAAGCCATGCACCAACCCGCACGCCGATCACGCTTCGCCGACAGCGCAAAGCCACTGCCGCCGGTTCCTCCCCTCCCCTCCACGCGCACCATTCGGCGTAGAAGCGGACAATTCATCATTCACTACGAGTGTACGGACGAGTACACGGCGGAGACATTCGACGGTATCAGGGCCGCAGTGAGTGGACCTGTGGACACGAGGATTGGGTATGCCATATGATGACTCCTAACGACGATCCATCCCATCCTCATCTCCAATGAGCCCTCGCGGTGCTGGTCATTTTGGGTCGAGCGGTCTTTGACGGTATGGGAGGAGAAGAAAGGTCGGTGTTTTTCTATGATAGATGTTATGCTTTCCAGAGCTCTTCCCTACGATCAGTTCACGACCTCACTCTTTTCGATATCTTCCCTCAATCTACGACATCTTGCCTTTGCTTTTGTTTGTACCATCTTTTTCAGACGCGGGTTTGCTTTCGCGCTGTAGCAGTAGCTGTATTAGTACTCGCATGAATACATTTTCGTCCTGGGGACTTGCTCATCCCGTATTTCTCAGTGCTCAACGCTGCAATTGAGCTCTGATGCCACTGTTTAACGTTGAACGTTTATACTCGACAGAGGTATTCGAATAAAACGCATTTTGAGTATCGTAACGAATCGTAACGCGCCGTGAGCCTCTCACTCACATTCGCGCAGCTGAAGCAAAACAACAACCTTTGCGTCCATAATCCTTCGAGCCGGGATCGAACCAGCGACCTCAAGATATATCATTGTGAGCCATTACAGTCTCGCGCTCTTCCAACTGAGCTATCGAAGGATATTGTTCATTCAGCTTTGGGTAACATATTATGTAATCGCTTTGATCAGCCCGTACTGTTGGCCATCGTATGAACGGATCTCACCTTCCACGAACATTTGCACATCTGAATATGCATGAGATGATTGATGACGACAAACCACTCTGCCGGGGTGAATACACCTCGAGGTCGGACGTGCGTTGCGGTCCTGAGGCTCCAAGTGCGTCTCTACGGTCTACCATCGTCAGCGGAACGATGAGTCGCTGACCGTCCCGACAGTTCAATGACTGGATTCAGAAAGTTCGAGATAGACACCAGTGAGCGAGAACGCGAAAGTCAGAAAGTGTGTGTAACAGTACTGAGTAGTGTACCATATGTTCCCACCTACCGTACAGGCGGCAGACGCGGTTGAATGTGGACCTACTCTGGCGCGTCGTCGCTCGGCGATGTCCGGAGCAAGCGAGGTCGTCAACAACAGCTCTTGCTCGCGTGCACCGCATCTTCGCGGCGGAAGTGACCGTTCGACGCGTTGCCTAGGAGATCTCCAGTATAAGTACACACTCAACGACAGATCATCACGGAGTCCGCCAAGTGGATGAGCACGATATTCGGTTGACGTTGGCAGTAAGATAGATAATGGGAGACACAGAAGGATAGAAGACAATATCGACAAGGTATGTAATAGTCAGGCTAGGGGTATGGACATGAGAAGGAGGTATGATGACAAGGAGGTGTGATAATAGCAAGCAGAACGGGTAGGGGACAGCTAATAGAACAACATGAGGAGAGCGAGCCGAAACAACAAAACAGAGTGAAACAACGGTATGCACAAGAGCGTCTTCAGTTGCCCGCAGCAGAGGAAGTGGTTTTGGCGCTGCTGGTCCCCTTTCTCTTGCCAGTGCCGCTGGACTTCATAATAGCCTCCAACACGGCAAGGGCCTCCCTCTCTTTAGCCGGGTTCTTGCCCTTCTTCGACCGCGGGGGCTGGATCCTGGTAGGCTACAAGGTTAGGCCCATGGAGTTAGTATCCAGATACCCGGAGTAGGCAGCGGTCAACGCACCTGAAGAGCTGCCACCGGAGCAACATCAACATCAACATTAACACCAATGCGTGCTTCGAGCTTGAAGAGGGCCAAAGTCTCGGCAGCAGCCTGAGATAGGCCGATGGCTTCAGTGGCAATATTCGGACAAAAGTATGAGTGAAAGACTCACGAAGGCTGCTATCTCTTCATCCTTTTGGGCTTGGGTGAGAGAAGTGTTCGCGTTGATTCTGGCCGTTTCGGCCTTGACGTGCTCCCGAATGATCTGGATGTTCCAGCGCAGTTCGGCTTGGGCGGCGACGTGATCCATGGCTTGTGGAACGACGAGATTCGGCGAAGGATGTAGGCAAATCAAGGAAGGGAAGAACGGTTGGTCAACACGGCGCAGATGGGAGCCGGATTTGAGAGAGGTCTGAGAGAAGACGTCGCGTTATATATACCGCATGCTGGCCATCCAAAGCTGAGCTCAATAAGTACAGTAGCCGAGAGCGCTATAATACAAGCGTGGCAGACTTCGTAGCCGGTCCATATGATCAGCTTTCTCGGCAAAGAATTTGGACAAATACTGTTTGTACTCGTAGACCGAGTGACTGGCTGGGAATATGCTCGCGCCCAGGTCCATTGAGAGCAACCGGTGACAGACGTAACACGAGGTCCAGTTCTTTGGAACGAGCAAGCAGCCGGCAGTGCTTTGCGCTTCCGTCCTTTTGCGCAAACAATGGAGCACACTCCACCGGTACCAACCTCATTGGCAGCAACTGTCGAGCTCTTTGACCAGACCATTTTACTCTTTGGTCGCTGGACGCTTGACGGCGTAGACCTGAGGTAGGCCATCATGCACGACAAAGAGAGTTTCTGAACGCCGCGGCGAATCAGCGATGTTATTTGCTCGCCGTCTACCTGACTCACTTTGTTTACGTTCAAACCAAGCGCTCGCCTAGATCTGAGCGATCTGTATTGAGCGCGGTGAACACCCGTTCGTACCACCCAGGTTGAAGCTCCGACGTGTTTGTACCTGGAAACGACTTTTCCAGTGCGAACAAAAGGCTGAAGGGACTAAGGGTATTGTCCACCAGCTGAGATTCACTTCTCTGGGCCGCTGTCCCGCGGTCTTGTTTGAGAAGTGTTGTGCAGACCGTGTGAATGCCTCTCCGACTCAAAGGTAGCGGCCTACCCATGCAAAAGGATCCCCATGCTTTCGCGGAGTCTTTGTTGAAAGAATGGGCTGATGATTTCGAGAGAGGTTCGGTCTGAAGTAGGAAGAGCAACTTGAAAGTAGGATGACTAGTCTGAGCTTCTGACAGTGCCTGGGAAGCTCCGCGATCATGTTATTGACCACAGGTCCGTACCCGTCTGAGAGCCAAAATCGATTGATCATATGCAATGCTATGACCCGCGAAGAGGTCAAGGGATAGACGTCGAGCTTTAGAGTTGGTGTACAACGGCCAAAGCACATCCAAAACCATCGGCGGTGGCCGCGCCCCCTGCCCACGAGACACGTAAGCCCTGAGCAGAGCAAAGACGCGTCACTGCATATCTGCGAAATCGTTTGCCGCAGAACGAGCTTGGTCCGGTAAGACCTCAGGCAGTGACTGCCAGTGGAGAGGAAGAGTCTGAGCGGTGTCGCACCCGTCGTACTGACGTGGCAATTCGTCAGTATCTCATCCATCACCCGTTGATAATGCAGAAGCACATACACAGCTCAAAAAATCGTACGCTCGACAGCTACGACCTATGGCTTGTGTGGGCTTTTGTGGGCTGGGGAAGTACTGCGTGGTCGCAGCCCAGTCGTGCCGCCTTGACTCTTCACATTCGTCACAATCAAACTCCGATGCAGATCGAGATCCGAACCTTAACCGGCCCGCTGAGGCCGCCGCTGACTTTCCATTCGGACCCTCAGTCAAGAAGACGGAAGACTCCAGAACAAGCCACAGTGAGTATCACGGATACGTTCTTCAGCATACCTTGAGTCTAGAGAATCTCAAGGCCGCTCAATGATGCAAAGAAAAATAGACTGAGGGGACGAAGATCGATAACAAATACGTATAGAGAATATTTTACAGAACGACTCCGGTAGATCTTACACACTAACAAAGAGTGACCAACTCAGAAGGAGAGGATCAGTCATCCGAGTCGTCAATGTTCTCGAAGTCTGCGGCAGAGATCAGCAGTAACTTAGAGCTGTCGACTTCATGAGAGCAGGCCGAATTGAAGACTACAGGCTGTTGGGTGTCAAATTGACTGTGAGCAGATTGGCGGTCAGTTTCGTTGAGGGAGTTCATCATCAGAAATCACATACCATGGATGTTCAACTGCCTCAGGGTGCGCGAACGCAGCATCCGCCTTGACCTTCTCCTGGACAAGGAAGTCATCCAATGAGGGTGGCACCTTGAATGATTGAGGGGCGGAGGTGGCGCCCAGAATGTGAGGAGCGGTCGGAGTAGGAGGTGGAGGAGGCGGAAGACGAAGGTGACTGTATATGGAACGACTTATCAGCTGTTGTCGTGCCGCAAGCAACAGGATGCGTACCAATCGTTTTCCTCGTGATTATCGTGAATGTCCTTCGTGACATCAGGTCCTTCATCACACTCGTTCTTGCATGGTAAGGCCTGGTGAACAGTTAGACTACATCGTGAACGTGATATACTGCGACACACCTTAGACTTCTTCCCACCGGAAGCAACGTTCTCCTTTCCATCTGCGGGTGGGGCGGTCTGGGTTGGCTTGTTCACGGACTGGAGGTAGGTGGACTACAGTCAGAGAATAGCCCGATCGTTATGGAATCTGGTAGCTCACTGCATGGCTGCGCAATTGCCTCGTCGAGACCGTCTTCTCAGTTGCGGCACGTGGCATCTCAGAGGCGAAGAGGAGAGTAAGACGATGAGGAGATGCCTGTGGGAGAGACGAGAGGAGCAGCCAGATGGCGATGGTCAGGAAAGCAAGTCGGGGATGACAGACAGCTTAAATACTCAGTGGCCACAGGACATTCCGCCTCGGGCAAAATGGCGTGAATAACTTTGGAGAAATTATTCATTGTTCAAAAAGAGCACGGCCGCATCCGCGGGACACTGGGCTCTGAAATTTGCGGAGCTTCACTGTTATTACTCACTAGTCGCTTTCCGGGGATCGCTCGCTTCTGAATTGCGGGGCGATCGTTGATGCGCCCAGACTTTCGGGTCGAAAGGCACGACGGGGTATGCTGCATTTTCGGGGCATCCCACCGCGCGAGCCACTTCTGACCGTGCGATTGAGAAGTTGGTATTGTGCTCTATCGCTTGATCCACGTACTGAATGCACCGCCGCGAAGCTGAGGTCGGTCTGCACTTTGTCTGTGAAGAGACGGCGGGTGGATGAGTGACGTAGAATGCGACCATCAAGAGAGGCTTCCGCCCCGAATTCTCTAGCGGCCCCGAGGTTCCGACAGGGCGGCGGGCAGCACTGGGGCACTGAGCACCACTGCATTACGTAGAACTGGCCGTAGAAATCAGCAAGCGGTTGGAATTGGTGAACCACTCCAGGAACGTACGTTTGCCCTAACATCGGATTTGAAAAACCCCGCAGCCCGGCAAAGAATTCGCATCGTGTAAATCCAAACTCTATCCAGCATTTCCTGTCAAGGACGAGGGGAGAACAATGGCACTCTTTCTGGGAGTGTGGCGGGGTCCTTGGTGAATAACCAGGTAATCACGGCCGCCTGCGACCATGAGTCAGAACAGCAGTCACAGCCCCGCCCTGCAGACCTTCACATCAGTTGTCGTTGTCAGGCTATGTGAGAAAGACAATGGCGACCACATACCTGCTTTCTTTCTGAGCCGCATCTTCCGCCTGAACCGTACCCCAAGCCCGGTGAAGAAATACGCGCCGAAGAGGACAAATCCGGACGGCTGTAGTCGTCGAAGGGCACGTTGGGGATGGCCACCATGTCGATGGAGGTTCGGTCGCCACTCCGACAGACGTAGGACGCTTTGCGGCCGTGGAAA